CTGAACCCTGGAAGTCACTTCTTATTAAGGGTCTTGAAGATTTTTTGTGACTTTCTCATTAAACCAAGTGGAAAAGAGTACACATTTTTCTTGATTGAATGATGTTTGTAGAAATTCCAAATTCTTTTCATTCTATTTGCCACTTTGCATGTATAGTTTGAATTTATGTTGGGTTCATTGGAAGATATTGGGAATGCCAAGCCTCAGGGTAGAAGAATATACTTGTAACATACACAGTAAAACTGACAGAGAACTTACATGCAGAGTATACAGAGAACTCTTACAAATGAAGACAACCTGGTAGAAGGCTGGATGAAAGTTGAACTTTACCAAAAAAGGCCAGTAAAGTAAAATGGAAAGGGGCTCAACTACATTGAGATGCCACTACACACCTATCAGAGTGGCTAAACATTTTAAAGATAGACAGTAGCTAAGTGCTGGCCAAAGTATGAAACAACTGAAATTCTGCATTGCTGATAGAAGTGAACATTGGGACAATTTAATTTTTTTTTTTTTTTTTTTTTTTTTTTTTGCTATAGGGCTCGTGCGCTCGCTCGCCAGAGAGACAGAAAGCAAGAAATCACCCTCCAGGGGGGATGGCCATGCCGCAATCCCTTCTCCCTTCTCCTTTCTCCTGTCGGGATCTTGGGTGTGCACACATGCCCAGTGTGAGTTTAAGCCACTGGGCCCAGGACTCAAACCATGGTCAACTACATGGGTGTCCAGCGACATAGCCATTAGGCTTACTGCTGGTCCCAAACTGACAAATGAACTTTAGAAAACTGTTTTCCACTTGAATCCAGCTACACATAACTGTCTACGAAATCCACCCGACTTAAATGAATGTAAATGTGACAAGTACAGTTACAAAAATTAAGACTTTTAGGGTATTTTGGATTTAGGATGTTGTTTTCCAAGTTAATCTTGTTTCACATAAAAGTTAATGGCTTTTTGTTTTTACAGCAAATTTTAGTAAAGGCACTGACTGCTTGCCTTTGCTATTGTGGAGGTCCCCATCAGTTTTTAGTCTCTGCACTACTGCCTTTTGCCAGTATACTTCAGCTTCTGCCCTAAATGGTGCATATAACAGTAATAGTAGTCGTTTTTTCTTTTAAGTTCTCGTGTATATATATGGGCTAGAACTGCTAGAGCAAGAAGAGTATGCAAGGCCAAGAGAAAGTCCAAAGGGTCTTCAGAAAGTTCACATGGGGCTAGCAGGTGACATGTGGTTAAAGTGCCTGGATCCTACATGGCCAACCAAAGTTTTAGGTTTGAGTTCTGGACTGGATGGCAAGGTCTGCATGTGTGCCAAAATCCCTAGAGGAGAAAGGATTGTAGTGTGGCCATTGCCCGTGGGGGTGATTCCTTGCTTACTCTCTACCCTCAGTGAGTTCATGCACTCGATAACAAACTAAGAAAAAGTTCACAGAAAACATATTATGAAAAAACTGTATGGAGTAAAACTTTGCGTCAGAATAAATTCATACTCAAAATTCATTTTTCCATAAATTTTTGAATTCCTGTTGTGTTAAAAGGTAAAGCTTAAAAGGGGATAAGGAGGCAAAAATACAGAATTTTAAGAGCGTGCAAATAAAAGCAAACAAAATCATTGTAAGCACCAGTCACAGGAAACATTCGGAATTATGACTTCATTATTATCATAAGCTGTTTCAATGTGTTGAACTACTCTTGCTAAATGCTGAACAGCAAGCTTTAGATTCAGATATACCTAATGATTTTTAAGGTAACAACTTGTATGAACGATTCTGTCATTGCTTGTTGACTTCTCTGCCTCTTTAACTCTGGGAATGGGCACAGAGCTATATATTGGGTTTTCAGAAAAGTCATGACACATTTTTTTTGATAACCCAATTATTGTGTTTTTAGGCTTGTTTAGGCAGGAAAAAGGTTTCGTTCGTTAACCAGTATGGTTAAATCAAGATTTTAAGCTGAAACAAAATACAATACCAAAGCATTCTAATTAAGAGTTTACTCTTATGTTTTGAAAAGGTAGCCATCTAAATCTCTTAACTTTGGAGGAGGGGGTTGAATATGGTGTTTGACTTAGTGAATTAAAATTTTCTAAACAAATGCCTTTTTTCATCTTCTTCAAGCATGGGGGGTAAAGTACCACCAGCTACTCAGAAAGCTAAATCTGAAGAGCATATCAAGGTAATTTTTTATTTGTTTAATGATAGAGTATTATAAGGTGTTTTTTAACTGCTGCTTTCAAATTACAACTCCTGATTTTATCACAGTCACGTGGAAATAAACATCTGTGTAAATTCCTGTTTGTCTTTATAACACCTCTGTTTATAGACCAAATCGCTAGAATCTGACTTAAAACTGAGAATTCATGGTTGAATGTTAGCTGTATTTTAAAGTAAATGAATAAATGTTAACATACACCTTACATGCATGGCTGGTAAGTGGTAAGCTCAGTGATGTGCATCCATAGTCTTCATTTATCACTCTTTAGCAACTAGAATATTGTCTTACGCATTGTAGGTACTTGATTAAAATTTGCAAAGTTAATGAACAAGTAGCCTACTCTAAAACAGTAATTAGGGTGTTTTTTTGTGCTACCACATGAGGAATATTTTTCAGTATGAAGCATAGTTTTGCTTCAGCATATTTTCCAAAAGAACATGTAAGATCAGGAGGAGGTTGCCAAGTTAAAAGATGAAGGGGGAGAAATCTACTTTTCTTTTTCTTTTAAGAATTATTTAACTATTTATTTATTTAAATTTGACGAGAAAGACAAAATGAGAAAGCAAACCGCCAGTCCTGGACTCAACTGTGGTCAGCCATGTGGGAGTCCAGTGCCCTTAACCACCATGCCACCTGCCAGCCTGAGAAATAGAATGCTGCCTTTAGTCTCTCTTCTGTGAGTGCTCACACCCTGTAGTGCAAACTAAAGAAAAAGAAAGGAAAAAAAGGGTATGCTCCAAAATCCTAAAACAGTAATGAGGTAAGGAATTGTGTTGTGGCCATTTCCCATGGGGAGTGCTTTCTCACTTTCTCTGTCTCATCCTCTAGCATATTAAAAGGAAAAAAAAAACTGTCTTAAGACTTTTTCATTTTTTAATTTACTGTCTTCATGACTAAAACTCTTAAAAAGAAAAGAGTTTTACTCATGTTTTCTGATAAGCTGTTTTATTATTCACTTGTATTATTTAGAACCTTAAACAAGATTTATCTATTTGGATACAAAAATAGAAGTATCTAGGGACCAGCAGTTAGCGTAATGGCTATGTTGCTGAACTCCCATGTAGCCGACTGCGGTTCAAGTCCTGGACCCAGTGGCATAAGCTCACACCAGGCACGTGTGCATGCGTGCCCAAGATCCCGTGAGGAGAAGGGATTGCTATGTGGCCATCCACCCTGGGGAGTGATTTCTCGCTTTCTCTCTTTCTCTCTCTGTCTTTTCTGGCAAGCGCACATACCCTATAGCAAAAACCTCTCCAAAAAGAGCTGTCTTCATGACTAAAACTCTTAAAAAGAAAAGAGTTTTACTCATGTTTTCTGATAAGCTGTTTTATTATTCACTTGTATTATTTAGAACCTTAAACAAGATTTATCTATTTGGATACAAAAATAGAAGTATCTAGGGACCAGCAGTTAGCGTAATGGCTATGTTGCTGAACTCCCATGTAGCCGACTGCGGTTCAAGTCCTGGACCCAGTGGCATAAGCTCACACCAGGCACGTGTGCATGCGTGCCCAAGATCCCGTGAGGAGAAGGGATTGCTATGTGGCCATCCACCCTGGGGAGTGATTTCTCGCTTTCTCTCTTTCTCTCTCTGTCTTTTCTGGCAAGCGCACATACCCTATAGCAAAAACCTCTCCAAAAAGAGAGAGAGAGAGAGAGAGAGAGAGAAGTATCTATGAACAAAATGAGAAAATTTTAGCAAAAACTCAAAAAGGAAGTAATTTTTTTAGGTGAGTTACTAAGAGACCTAGATAGGATATTTTGCCATTTGATAAAGATGTGTGAAGACAAAATTATATTTAACCTTTGTCTCTGCTAAAACTATTTTCTAATGACATTGTGATTTAGAATTGCAGCTGGGCTTCTTTTCAGTACAGTTGGTCCTCTTTATCTCTGGGTTCTGCATCTGCATATTTAACCAACTGTGGTTTGAAAATAATTTCCTAAAATAAAATAAAAATTAATACAATTCAGAATAACATAATATCAAATCAAAATAACATTTACATTGTGTCTGGTATTATAAATTATCTAGAGGTGACTTAAAGTAAAAGGAAGGTTGTGTGTAGGCAACTAGCAAATATAATACTGTGCCATTGTATATGAAGGACTTGAACATCTGCTAATTATAGTATTTGTGGGGGATCTGGAGCCAATCCTCTCAAAATACTGAGATATAGCTCTTATGTTGTAGTATCTATTATAGCACCTCCTACTTTTGATAGGAACACAGTAAATATTTTGTAATAAGATAGGGCTTTGATTTTCATTTTTAAGACTCAGGAAGTAGAGTAACCTAATTAAGTGGTTAAATAACTTATATACCAATACAGTTGAATGAATAGCTATAAGTCAGCTGATAACGATATATTCTCCAATATGCACAGTATTGTTACATGAAAAAGGCAAGATACAGAGTCGTCTTACACAGGATTTGCTGCTGTGGGATATATGAGAGCTCACACTGGTCACTTCACAATGGGAAGGATATTAGCTTTTCCATCATGTGTACTTTTAAATTCTTTGAATGTTTGCTCTTTGTGTGTTATAGCTCTATAAACTTCTAATGTCAAAATTGAAAAACCTTTGAAATGTTTAAAGATTTTTAGTAAATTTGACAGTAAAATGTGATCTGAGTGGGCATGAGGCTGTTTATAATCTTCATAACACTTCCTCTGAATGTTCAAACTTTATTTTGCAGAAATAGTAATGCGTTTGCTTACAGAGTGTGATGAGTCTGTTGAGGTGTAATACATCATATGTTCATTGTATTAGATTTCTACAATCTGAATTTTTTTATTTCTAAAATGCATTGTCCTAAAGGTTTGGATAAGAGACTACATCTATAATTAATTAAAAAAGAGCAAACAAAAAAAACAAGAGTAGTTTGACAAAACAAGGAAGGGAGCATCAACTGAAATATATTGTATGTGAACAGTTAATACATAGATTTGTATAGATTAGTGTATATATTGTATATGTTATTAAACACTGATAGTACTGTTTGCCTTCCTTTTGCTAGGAAGAAAAAACAGATAGTAAGAAGGCGGAGGAAAACATAAAGACAGAGGAACCATCAAGTGAGGAAAGTGATCTAGGTGAGGAGATGGTAGTTAGTTTGTATTTGATAACCTTATAATCCTATGTTGATTTTTATTAAATTGACTAAATCAGTGCTAATAGTAATAAAATGTGAACTGTATACGAAGTTTTAAATTTTGTAGTAGCCATATTAAAAAAATAAAAGGGAATAGATGAAATAAATGCAATAATTTTAATTAAACCAATGATATTGATTAAAATATTAACATAGTATAATCATTTATTTTCCTTCTTGTTTTCATACTCAGTCTTCAAAATCTGGAGTGTATTTTACACATACAGCACCTTTCAGTTCAGATGTTACATTTTCATTGGCAATAATTCAGACTTTATGACATATGTATTTGAAGAGCTTGAGTGATGGGACCAGCAGGTGGTGTGGTTAAGGTGTTGGATTTCCACATGGCTGACTGTGGTTCTAGTCCTGAACCTGGTGACTTGAAAATCACGCCAGGTGCATGTGGGTGCATCTAAAATCCCACAAGGAGAATGGAGGAAAAGAGATTATGGTGTGATTTTCTCCCTTTGTCTCTCTCTTTCTCTCCCTCTCTCTACCCACCCTCCATCTCTTGGCAGCCAGTCCGAGTACCCAATAATTTAAGACAAAAAAGGGGGGGGGGGAACTCGAGTCATATATCAATTTTTTTTTAAACTTTATTTACTTATTTATTTAAATTTTACCAGAGAAGAACAGAGTGAACAAGAGAGAGAGAGAAAGTGAGAAATCAAGCCACCAGGTCTGGAACTTGAACCATGGTCGGCCATGTGGGAGTCCAGCACTCTTAACCACCACGCCACTTGCCAGCCCCGAGTCGTATATCAAATTATTCTAAACATATTTCAAAAGTTTTCCAGTAACTGAATTGGATATCAGAGAATTATTTTCCTTTAGTACTTGCATCCATGTTGATAAAACTGGTTCATATTTTTAAGAATTGATATCTGTGACATGAGTTATATTTATTTATTGAGGGTCCTAATTATAAATTTTTAAATCCCTTCAGAATGTAAACATACCCCACTTACTAGTTGAGCAATCTTTTATGTCACAGAATCTATCTAAAGGGTAAAGAAAAGTACTTGGAATTTTTCAAATTTGAATCAATCTTTGATATTGTCAGAAAAGTCTTGAAACTATGAGCAGTTGTTTGGGGGCTACATTGAAATATTTTTGTAAGATGGCTTTTTTATTCTTTGTCATTTTCAAACAGTTTCCATAGTGCTTTTTTTTTTTTTTGAGAGAGAGAGAATTTTGCTATAGGGAATGAGCGCTCACCAGAGAGAAAGCGAGATATCACCTCCAGGGGTATGGCCACCCAAGTAGTCCCTTCCCCTCCAGTCTTCTCTTGGGATTTTGGGCACGCACATGCACCTGGCGTTAGTTTTAAGCTGCCAGATCTAGGATTCAAACCACAGTCGACTACCTAGGAGTTCAGTGACATAACCATTATGCTATCTGCTGTTCCTGCTTAAGTGCAATCATTATTTAGGCAATTCTATACCTAAAAGTATTTTCATTTTTGTGCACAGATCAAATCATTTTATAGTTAGGTAAGCTTAGCTCAAGTGAAAAATTAAAGTTTTTTATATGCTTGTTGAAGGGTACAAACTTTCAGTTATAAGCAGTATAAGTTTTGGAGATCCAATGTACAGCATGATGACTATAGTTAATGTTTTGGGGCTGGCCCCATGGCCTTGGGGTTAATGGAGCTGGATCCCACAGGCTGAACATGGTTGAACTTTGGCTCTGGTGTCTTAAAAATACACTGTGCTTGTGCATGTCCAAAATCCTCACAGGGGAGAAATGAAGGAGAAGGGATTGTGTCGTGGCCATACCCCTCTGGAGGCTGTTTTCTCTCTCACTCCCTCTCTCTGGCAGAGGCTGTTTTCTCTCTCTCTCCCTCCCTCTGGCAAGTGCATAATACCCTCTGGTTACTAAAAACAGTAATGATGTTTTGTATACTTGAAAAGGTCTAGATTTTAAGTTTTCTAACCAAACAAAAGATAAAAATGTGAGATGACAGATTTGTTAATCAACTTGATGGGAAGGATCGTTATATAATGTATACATATATTAAAACCAAAAGGTTACATTGTATCCCTTAAATACAGTGGTTATTGGTTCATTGCAGCTCAGTTAAACATTTTCCTCCGTTGTGGTGGTGGTGGTTGTGGTGGTGGTCATGGTCGTCGGGGTCATTGTGGTGGTCGTGGTCCTGACATTTCAGGTGCTACTTTCAGGTGCTACTTTGATTTCATTGATTTTTTTTTTTTTTTTTAAAGAGAGGTTTTTGCCTTAGGGCATGTGTACTTCCCAGAGAGAGAGGCAGTGAGAAGCAAAGTGAGAAATCAACCCTCAGGAGGGATGGTCACACTGCAGTCCCTTCTTCTCTATTCTCCTGGGATCTTGGGCATGCATGCTCATGAGCCTGGTGTGAGTTTCAAGCCACTGGGTCAGGGACTCAAACCTCAGTTGGCCATGTGGGAGTCCAGCAATGTAATTGCTACATCATCTGCTGGCCCCTAATTTTTTTTTTAACCGTTAGGAGAAAACTTTAAAAAGACACTTTATTTGTTATAAATATGTTTAATACTGTCTGCTTTATTACTTTTTAAATTATTCTTACATGAAACAATTATTTTGTTTGGCTCTGTTGTAGCAAATTACAGTTGTCATTTTACATGAAATTTATGGAATATATTTATTTTCAATTAGTGAAGTTTGGTTGAGTTAGGTTATAGATGTAGCCTTGATTTGATTCTGTATCAGTGGTGTGCCTTGATTTTACAATTAAAAATTAATCATACTGTGCTTTTATTTATTTATTTATTTATTGCCATAGGGCCCTTAACACTTGCTGGAGAGAGACAGTTTGGGGGGAGAGAGCAAGCGAAAAAGAGAAATCCCCCTGGTGGGGTGTGGTCGTGCACAGTTCCTTCTCCTCCATTCTCCTGGAGTTTTGGGAATGCACGCACATGCATGGGTGTGATCTTCATGCTGCCAGGTCTGCATCCATGTGGAAGGGATCCCTCACACCACCAACTGACCCAAGAATACTATTTTTTAAAATGAAAATGTTATGATTTATATTAATCACTGTAATTTGTGCTATCTGATTAAAATATTTTAAAAACAGTTTATAGTTAGGTACATCTTTCTGTAGAATGAAATGATTTGGAATGAATTCAGTTGTTGACACTAAATTAGTGGTATGTTTATGTGCAATACAGATAGATGCTGTTCAGCTGTTATTATATCCGTATAAACCCATCATAAATTGAAAGTTGAAAACACATTTTATACACCTAACTTAACAAACACCATAGCTTAACTTAGCCTACTTTAAATGTGCTCAGAACAATTAACATTGGTCTATAGTTTGGCACAATTACCTAACACAAAATCTATTTTACAGTAAAATGTGAAATGTCTTACCTAATTTACTGAATATTGTACTGACAGTGAGAACAGAAAGGTTGTAAATGTACTCTATGTCCAATGTCTGCTATATGAGTATCTGTACCATCGTAGAGGCAAAAAATGATGGTAAGTACAACCATCGTAAATCAGGAACTTTTTTTTTTTTTTTAAAATATGGAACGCTTCACGAATTTGCGTGTCATCCTTGCGCAGGGGCCATGCTAATCTCTGTATCATTCCAATTTTAGCATATGTGCTGCCGAAGCGAGCACGGAACTTTTTTAATTTTTTTTTTTTTTTTTTTTTTTTTAAGAATTATTTTACTTATGGGACCAGTAGATGGCATAATGGCTACATCACTGGACTCCTGTGGAGTCTACCGCAGTTCGAGTCCCAGACCTCGTGGCTTAAACTCAATCCAGGCATGTGTGCGTGCATGCCCAAGATCCCGAGAGGAGAATGGAGGAGGAGGAATTACAGCATGGCTTTCCTCCCCGGGGAGTAATTTCTCGCTTTCTGTCTCTCAGTCTCTCTCTGTCTTTGTGGTGAGTGTGCATGCCCTATAGCAAAAATTCTCAAAAAAAAAAGAATTATTCTATTTAATTTTATTTTCTTTTGACAAGAGAGAGAAAGAAAGTGAGAAGGAAGCCACTGGGTCCGGTTCTCGATCTGTAGTCACCCATGTGGGAGTCAAGCGCCCTTAACCACTGTGCCACCTGCTGATCCTGTAAATCAGGAACTTTTAAAATGTTTTTCAGATTAATTAAGTCCCCATCATGATGTATACAAAAGATTTTTTTTTCAACAAAGAGCTTTACATTTTCCATCTGTCAGCTGTTTTCTTACCCCTTTCACCTCACACTCACCTTCCACCACTCCCTCTCTACTATCCACTTTCCCCCCTTACAGTCTCAACCATAGCATCCACACCCATTCTCTCCACCCTCACATTTTCATCTCTCTCAATCTCTGCCAAGGAGTGCAAACACTTGGTACAAATTGAGTGGGATGTACAGTGTGTATCTTTCAAAGTCTGGCTCACTTTGTTCAATAATGAGTCTTCTGTAATATATTCATTTTCAATCAGGCAGTAGTATCTCATTGTTTCTTAGAGCTGAGTAATATTCCATAGTGTACATGAGCCAGTTTTTCAACCCAATCATTGGTTTTTGGGCACTTATGTTGGTTCCATGTTTAGCAGTTGTGAATAATGCTGCAATAAAAAGGGATGTGCAAGTGTCTTTCCGATTGATTGTTTTCCTGACCTTTGGGTAAACACTGGGTCATACGGTGGTTCTATTGGTAGGTTTTATGAGGAACTACCTTACTGTTTTCCGTAGATGTGCTAATTTACATTCCCACCAACAATTGAAAAAGGTTCCCTTTTTACCAAAATCTTGCCAGCACTTGTAGTTCTTTATTTTTGTGATCCTAGTCATCCTAACTGGTGCTAAATGGTGTATGTCATTATGGTTTTAATTTGCATTTTCCCTATGACAAGAGACTTTGAACATGTTTTCATATTTTTTGGGCCTTTCATAAGTCGTGTTTGGAAAGTTGTCTATTCAATTCATTTGCCTGTGTTTTTTTTTCTTTTCTTCTTCTTCTTTTTTAATAGACCACAGATTAGTTTATTATTTTTAGCACCCATCATGCCATGAATTCATAGGGAATAGGTTCCAGTAGCTCAGGCTCCTTTCCATTGGTTCTCACAAAGTGTGCTTCTCTGGGTGGAGCAGGCTGGCGCTTTAGATGAACCCAGGTACTTTTCTCTTTGGCTTCTTTCTTTTTCTGGTCATTTTCCTTCACACGTTTTAGGAAGCTCTCTCTGCTCTTAGAATGCTTAATATGCTCAATACACACATTGATTCTCTTGGCAAGAATCTTGCCCTTAACTTGTTTGTTCACAACAATGCCAACAGCATGCTGGGTAACATTGTAGATTCTTCCAGTTTTGCCATGGTAACATTTGTGGGGCATTCCTTTTTGAACATTACCCATTCCCTTAATGTCTACACTATCACCTTTCTTGTAGATTCGCATATATGTTGCCAAAGGAACAACTCCATGTTTTCTAAAAGGCCTAGAGAACATATATCGGGTGCCTCTCCTCTTCCCTTTGTGTTTGTCATTTTGGTTAATTACTGGAAGACGGTGGTTCCGGCCAAAGACCATTTGCCTGTTTTTTTTTTAATTGGATTATTCATTGGGCAAACTGAGTTTCCTGTGTATTCTGGATATTAATCTCTTGTTTTAGGAATAATTCGTGAATGGTTTTCCACAATTAAATGATTATCTTTTCATTCTAATTATTGCTTCCTTTGCTGTGAGGAAGCTTTTTAGTTTGATGTAATCCTACTTGTCTATTTTAGGGATTATTGCTTGTGCTTTAGAGGTCTTATTTAAGAAATCTTTTCCTACTCCAGTGTTTTCAAAAGTTTTCTCTATGTTTTCTACAAGTCAGAAATCTTCTGTACTATAAGCTGTTCATATGCCAAAATTTCCATTATTGAATGATAGATTGTATGACAGTTAAAATGAAACAGTAAAGTTATGTTTAACAGGAAAACATTTTATAATGCATTGATATTTAAATTAAAATTAGTAAAATATTCATCTCATTTGCACTAGTCATAATGGTTCACCAGGTTTTTCTTTTGAACTTTTTTTTAGTAATTATTTTATTTAACTTATTATTACTATTTTAATTTGACCAGAGAACCACCATGTCATCTGCTGGCCCCAGTTCATCAGTTTTTAATATTAATAATGTCATTTGGGTAATGGTTACTATATTGCATAGTGCAGATTTTATTCTTATTTTCTATTTTCTTAACTTTGACAGAAATTGACAATGAAGGTGTGATTGAACCAGACACTGATGCCCCTCAAGAAATGGGAGATGAAAATGTAGAGGTAAGTTTAATGATCTGTTTTCAGTCTGTAAGGACTATAAATGTTCTTTGTATTGCAGTGATTTTATGACAGTATTTCAGGAAAAGCACATATTAAATCTTTCTTTGATTTAAAACATTAAATAAAGCATTTTATTTAGCTGCATAAAATATTTGTGAAAACTTCACTTTTTAAAATTTGCTCTTGTTTATGTTCCCTGGAGAGAGAGAATGAGAGGGAAAATGAGAAATCTTCCCCTGAGGGTGGGGGGATGGCAAATGTCCACACCACAATCTCTTCTCTATTCTCCTCTCAGGATTTTGACTATGCATGCACATGTGCCCAGCATGATTTTTCGGTCTTCTGCATCTGGAACTCGAACTGTGGAGTCGTCGTCCATGTGGGATCTAATGCTTTAACTTCCATACAATCTGCTGGTCTGAAAATTTCCAATTTTTTAAATCATATTCTCTAACGGTCTCTGAAATCTCTGGTGTATTCTGTTTTTCGTGATTTCTAAATTTACATTTAATTTGAATGTTCTTTTGACTGTAGAGCTCACCTTAAGTATGTACCTATAAGAGAACTTCAAAAGGTTCATGGAAAATGGAATTTAAAAATATAAACTTGGCCAACTGGCAGTGGCCAGTGTTTAAGGTGCTGGACTCCCACGTGGCTGATCGTGGTTGAGTCCCAGACTTGGCTGCTGCTCGCTTGCTCGCTCTCTGTCTCTGGTCAAATTGTTGATAATAATAAACAAAATTAAATTAATAATTCTTTTAAAAAAAACTTAAAAAATAAAACATAATCTTGGGCCAGCACATGGCTTTTTGTTTAAGGCGCTGGACTCCCACATGGCTGATTACAGTTTGAGTCCTGGACCTGGTGGCTTGCTCTCTCTCTCTCTCTCTTTGGTGAGCATATATACACATGCCTTGTAGCAATTTTTTTTTAAAAAAGGATAAATTTAGATAATTCTTAAAAACAAAATTACATACAAACTTGAGACCTCAGGTAGCGTGGTGGTTGAAATACTGGACTCTCACATGGATAATCATAGTTCGAGTCCTGGACCCATCAGCTTGAAAATTACACTGGACATGTGTGCACGCATGCATGCCCAAAATCATAGGAGAATGGAAGAAAAGGGATTGCAATGTGGCCATCTCCCTGGGGGGTGATTTCTCACTTTATCTCTGTTTCTCTAGCAAGCACATGCACCCTATAGGAAAAATCCCTAAAAATTTTTTTTAAATATTAGAAAAACACTTGTCAACATAAGTTTCATTGAGGTCAGAGTACTTTTTTGTAAACAGTAATGCCAGCTATTTAGTCTATCCCTAAAGAACCGAGGTCCTGGGGCTTTAACTGTGTCAATACAGTTTTTTACATTCTTAAAAAAGGGAGTGTCCTTCACTGGTTTTTGTTAATTTGTTTTGTATTTTAATTTGCTAGAGGGTGCGTGTGTTCACGGGGGTGAGAGGTGAGAAAACACCATCCATGGAAAGTGGTCATGCTGCGGTCCCTTCTCTTCCATCTGTCCATCCTTTTGAACTTTTGGTCATCCACACACATGCGTCCAGCATGTTTTCTATATCCCTTAGTCAATCAGTTTTAGTCATAGAGTGCAGACACTCATATATACTAAGTGGGGGCATACAATGTCTTTCATAGCCTGGCTTTCTTCACTCAACAGTAAATATTCTCATGCAGTGGAGGTCAAGACTTGAACTGCAGATTTTGCATATGAGATCCAGCTACCTTAACATCCAGGCTATAGGCTGCCCTCAGATTTTGGAAAGATTAAGAAATGGGGCCAGCCTATGGCATGGTGGTTAAGGGAACCAAATGCCACATTGCAACCTGCAGTTTGAATCTTGGACTGGCAACTTAAAAAACATTGGGTACATGTGCATGTGTGCCCAAAATCATACCAGGAAAGAAACTTAGAGGAAAAAAGATGACAATGTGACCATATCCCATTAGGAGCGTTGTGTGTTATTGTGTGTATACTATGCCTATGCTGTCTTGTTCTCTCTCCGTTAGGTACGCACAAACACCCTGTGGCATACACACACACGCACACACACACAATTAGGTAACAAGGCAGAGCCGGCCCTGTAATGCAGTGGTTAACCACAGTGCATTGGGAGCTGGATCCCATATTGCTTATCAGAGTTTGAGTCCTGGCCCTGGTGACTTGAGAAACATGCCAGACAGATGTACTTGAGTGTCCCAAATCCTGATGGAATGGAGAGATGGAAAAAAAAAAAAAAACGATTACAGCATGATCAGGCCCCAGTAGGAGGTGCTTTGTCTCTGTACCCTCTGGCAATTAAAGAGAAAGTAATACCCCCCCCCCTTTTTTGGAGAGGTTATTGCTGTATGAGGAGCATATGCTTGCCAGAAAGACAGAAAAAGACACAAAGCAAGAAGTCAGCCCCCAGGGGCGATCGCCATGCCGCAGTCCCTTGTCATCCATCCTCCTCTCGGGATCCTAAGCATGCGCACATACCTCTGGCTTGAGGTTAAGCCACCGGGTCCAGGACTTGAAATATGGTCGACTACATGGGAGTCCAGCAACATAGCCATTTCGCCAACTGTTGGTCCTGCATTTTTTAAAAAATGAGGAAAGAGGCCACCAAGTGGCATAATAGTTTAGGTGCTGGACTCCCACATGACCAAACATGGTTTAAGTCCTGGACCTGGTGGCTTGCTTTCTCACTCCCCCTTTCTCTTTGTCTATGTCTCTGTCTGGTCAAATTAAAAAATAATAATAAATAATATTAAGTAATTTAAAACTAAAAAAGGAAACAGAAATAACTAACATCAAATCAGGATTGTGAAATAGATGCCTAATGAATTTCCATCAAAGCTCTCACAAAAATTATCGGGTTCTTTTTTTTTTTTTTTTTTTTGGATGTTGAAAGGGATAAGTAGGAGCATTGTGATGTAGGGTGACTCTGGGGAAACTTTCATTGGGCTTTTTTTTTTGGCTTTAAGGCTCTCCTAACTTTCTCAGTGCACTCTTAAAATAAACAGACGTTATGTTATCTTTCAGTGCTCCGCATCCCATCCCCAGAAGTAAACAAACAGAATGCCTGAGCATCCAAGAATACTGTTGCAGTGATCTTTGCCCTTGACTGGTCCCCTTTTGTCTGACTGGCTTACTTCCACCTCTTTATAGCATTGTTTTGATTGTGCTTTGTCTTTAGGGTCTTACTGAGAAAGCCATGTGCCATCTTCTGTTAACAGTTCTTCAGAGATGCTTCAGGATCTTGATCACATTTGTTTAAAATTTCCATTGAAAGATCTAATGTTGGCTGTCTGGGCACAATAGTTTAGGTACCCGTTGAGCAGAAAGTTTGCTGAACTTTAATTTTTCGTTCAGAATTGTGTAAGCTGAACCAATTAAAATGTCTATGGTGTTGGCTCTCATAGGATCATCTTTGATGAGAGCTTGGACAAGATTAATATTTTTCCTTGCGAATTGATGTGGAAGGTCTGCCTCCACAGGTGTCATCTTCCACATCGTGTTGCTGTTTTGTTTTTATGTTTTTTTAATTTGCTTTAGGGAGTGCATGCACTGACTGGTGAGAGACAGAGAGAAAAGGAGAGAGTACCCTCAATGGGGCATAGTCACACCACAATCCCTTCACCTTCATCTCTCCTTTCAAAATTTTGGTCTTGTTCCCAAGAGGAGACTAGAGGAGAAGGGATTGTGGCATGGCCATCCCCCAGAGGTGGGGTGGTTTCTCCCTTTCTGTCTCTCTGGCAAGTACACATACCCTATAACAAAAATTTCTCAAAATAAAAAAAAAAAGGAAAAAGTAAAGGATTTTGGGCTCCACACATGGGCCTGGGTACGTTTCAAGCTGCTGGGTCTGGGACTCAAAACACATAATCGCTATGTGGTATCCGGTCACCTTAGCTGCTAGGCCATGGACTGACCCGCATTTCTTTGTAAAACAAGGTATCCATTTGTAAACTGCTGAATTCTTTGTAGTAATGGCCCCATAAAATTTTCCCAAAACATCAATAATTTTGTTATTTTTCCCCTATAAATTTGATGTTTGCTGTTATTCCAATGTTAGCAGAATATATATTGCTCTGATAGGGGATCTTCTCAAACTGAAATGTCTCATAGTAGATCCTGTTCAGGCACTTAACAGGTTAGTACAAGTTTGTATTTTGGTTTAAGAATTTTTGAATTTTGTGCTTAAGGTTGTTTTTTGTTTTGTTTTGTTTTTTCTTTTTTAGTTTTTGCTATATGGTGTATGTGCTCACCAGAAATAGAGAGAGAAAGTGAAACCCCCCCCCCCAGGGGATGTGGGTGTGCCACAGTTACTTCTCCAGTCTCCTCTCAGCATTTTGGGCACACATGCTCAAGGACCCAGCATGGTTTTCAAGATGCCAGATCCAGGACTCCACCTGTGGAGTGAGCTGTGTAGGATCTAGCTCCTTAACTTCCATGCCACTTGCAGGCCCCATGCTTAGATATTTTTTTAATATATATAATTATTTTATGTGAATTTTTTGAAGACCCCCTTATACAAGTGGAATTGCCTCTTAATAGGATATCAAAAGTCAAATCATTTTCCGAAATGGTTCTGTCAAAATGAGCCCTCGAAGGGGGTAGATATTGGTTCTTAGGGGAGAGGGAGCTTGAAGGCTTGAATATTAGAGTGATTAGTGGTCCTCCAAAGGATCATAGCACATTAACATGTAGGTACAGGCACTCCCCACTTATCAACCTACCTGTTTAAAGAACTCTCAGGCTTATGACCATTTCTTCAGCATGGGGAATCCCTTGTCTCGGTTCTTGTCTCATTCCTGCAGTTGGTTAGTGTTCACTACACGAAGTGTTCGCAGTCACACAAGACTACATATTTCGTTTATAAATTTGTGCTTTATTGTGCACCCGTAGTACAAGATGACGACGAAAAGGAAGAACATGACTTCTCCTGGAGGAAGCGCCAAGATTCGAAGGAAAGCTATTGATCTTGAGATGAAAATGAAGATCATAAACCAATATGAAGCTGGTAAAAAAGTTAAAGAGATAGCACGTGATTTGGAGCTGGCGCATTCAACTGTTTCAACAATCTTGAAAGATAAAGATAGAGTTAAAGAGGCAGTAAAATCATCAGTAGGATTTAAAGCCATAATTACTAGGCAGCGAAAAGGCCTCATCCATGAAATGGAAAAATTACTAGTGATGTGGTTTGATGACCAGATTAAAAAAAAAATGCCAATGAGCCTTTTAATAATTCAAGCCAAGGCACGCAGTATCTTTGAAACGTTGAAGGCGCGTGAAGGGGAGGAATCAACAGAAACATTTACGGCAAGCCATGGATGGTTTCAACGGTTTCGTCGAAGATTCAACTTGCATAATTGGAGTATCAGGGGTGAGGCAGGAAGCGTGGATGTAGAAGCAGCAGAAAAATTTGTTGACCAGTTCGATAAAATTATTGAGGAAGGAAGCTGCCGCCCAGAACAGATCTTCAATTTGGATGAAACTAGGCTCTTCTGGAAGAAAGTACCTGAAAGTTCCTATGTACATGAAGAAACTAAAATGGGGCCTGGTTTCAAGGCTTTTCAGGACAGGGTCACATTATCTTTGGTAGGAAATACTGAGGGAGAGTTAGCCAACAAAAATTTAATAGAGGCTGAACAGCATTCAGAAGATGAAGAAAAAAAGGAACAAATGGAAGAAGTAGAAAAGAAGTTCACTGTGAAAGGATTAGCTAGCGTGTTCTCGAAAGTGAATGCGGCTCTGTTAGAACTAGAGGGTATGGATCCGAATGTTGAACGGTTCACGAAAGTGGAACGAAAAATGAATGAACTTTTAAGGTGTTACCATGAAATTTATGAAGAACAAAAGAAACTTAGAAAGCAGACCACAATAACAAGTTTCTTTTCGAAAGCTACATCCAGGACCCCTACCCCTAAGAGTGCTTTAATGTCCTCACTGTCGTCATCTTTACACAGACCCTCCACAGCTCCTGATGGTAACTGATGGTGACTGATCTCAGACCACTACCCCACTTTGAAGGATTCAGTGACTGACATACTAAGCTAAATGTCTTTTTATGCGTGAACTGTAATTTTTTGGTACACAATTTTTATAGTTTTTGCTTTTATTTTTTTCCCTAAGGTTTTTGCCATACAGAGAGAGAGAGGGAAAGCAAGAAATCCCCCCCGCCGGGGGATGACCACACTGCAACCCCCTCTTCTATAGGGATTTTGGGCATGCACGCACGTGTGCCTAGAATGTTTTTTAAGTTTCCAGGTCTGGGACTTGAACCATCGTTGACCATGTGGGAGTCCAGCACCTTAACCACCACACCACCTGCTGGCCTTGCTTACTGTATTTTTATGTTATGTGATTATATAAGGGATGCAAATTATAGCTAAATTATCACGTTGGAGTTTCCTTTAGACTTTTTCATTATTCAGAATAAATAAAATGATTATGCCAGATTTATATCACTGTGTTGTGGTGTGTCTTGTCGCTTTCTGGTGCTTATCTAATGTATCCTTTTGTAATGAATAGAATTACTTTATTCTAGTGTGGTCTCGCATGATAGCTATGGGAAAATATACACCCTGTGGTGCCATGACACAACACAAGACTTTTAAGATTCTCAGTTATGTACCAATTCACTTAAGGACCTATTCGTAGGAATGGAACTCGGTCGCTAAGTGAGGAGTGCCTGTAGTATCTGTATGTGGTATTAAAATTGGGGAATAGGAAGTTGGAAAAGTGTCTAGAAAGGCTTGTTGGTGGATGATAATGAAAAAAAGTTGATGAACATTCTACTATAGCAATAGCAACTTTAAAAATTGGTCTGTGTCTTCAGTAGTTGATAATGTCAGATTTCATCTTTGCCGGTTTTATTTTGTTAAATGGTACGTTCTGTGGCTTCTGATGTGCATTTTCCTGATTCCTAGTAAGGTCAAGCATATTATAGTGTCTTTGTCATTCATAGGCATTTGTGAAGTCCTATTCAGACCTTTCTTCCATTTTTCTATCGGATTGTCTTATTGATTTGCAGTTGTTTTTAATATTGTAAATACTAACAATTTGTTGCCTATATGTGCTGCACGTATTTTGTGCTAGTGTATGGTTTGTCTTCATTTTGTCTTATCTAAATAAACAATATCTTTTAATGCAGCTAAACTGATTTTATTTTATGCTTTATTACTTCAAGGTTATAATTGTTATAGTACATTGTTTTTTCCTCCTGAAAATTTACTTTTCACCCTTAATTTATTTGTTAGTGCCATTATCAGAGGATCCCTTTTCCCAGTGGTGCTAAGGTATACTGTTAGCACATATGCTTGGGTCTGATGGGGAACCGTCTCGTTCTACTTGTCTAATTTATTTTTTCTGATCACTGTTGTCTCACACAGCTTCAGACTAAGTCTTATTATCTCATAGGGCAAGGACCCCCAGAGTTTCGGCAATATTTTGACTGTTCTTGGCCATTTGTTCTTCTCTGTAAATGTCAAATTGCCCCCCCCC